AGTGATTAGGGGAGTCCAGGCACAAAGCTCAGTGCTGACCCTTTATTGCTAATCTGTCTGCCCCTCACAGTAGGTGAGTTTAAGGCGTTCAAGAACCAAGAGAAAGAAGAAGAAAAAGATAATAAAATATTTAGGCATGAGATCTGTACTTGCAAAATATACGGCTATATTGCTTCCACTGCAAGGCAAAGTTGCAGGCACACAAATATGCTGCCTTTTTTTCCCCCCTCCCTGTATTCAGCAGTATGTTTAACCTTGGAGCTGTCAAGCTCCATCATGAATAATGAGCCATGACAACATTCCAAGTGATCCTTTGAGAACAGACCAATTTTTACTATATTCTATACAAGGCAAAAGGCTGTTATTGTATTCCCATGGCATTGTATCTGCTTTGAAAATATACAGTAATGTGGCCATCAAGAGGAGACTGCAAGTAAATACCGAAACAAACAGGCCACTTCACCGCATTCCATCATATAGACCTGCAGAACGAGCAATAAAAACATGTAAAATCCTAATGTTTCACATTTAAAATTAAACAGGGACCCAGAGGGAGATTGGTCTCGCTGAAGATACATTTGACACAATCACTTCAGAGCAAAACCGTATCTGTATTTGAAAGGAGGCAGAGCTGCTACAGCAGGGAGAAGCAGCTGGGAGCATCCCTCGGGATGGAAGTGCCATGGATGCAGGCGAGCAGGAACCTGGGGCAAGAAGGCAGCCTCTGCCTCAGCCTTCTCACCCTCTCAGACTGCAAATGGCAGTGCTGGAAAGTACAGGAAGGAACTAGAGCCATTTGAGTAACTGCTTGAAGTTCCCGTACAGCAACACCCTAACCATGCCAAGGCAAGTCTAAAAGAAAGCACATAACAGCTACACAAATAACGGCAAAAGCCACTATTGCCATGCTCCTCCCAAGCTCGAGGGGAGAGCAGAGATGGGACAGATAGATTCCTTAAAAAAATTCTTTTAAGAAGTTTATTGGAGATTTAAATAGGTATTCACAACATATACCCAATTAAAAAATTAAAATAAAAAATAAATTTCATCATCTGTTCGGGAAATAAGTGCTAATTCATTAACATCCATCTGAAAATACATACATTCTCTAACTGCTCCAAGCAGTAAGCATCTACTTTGTGTTTCTGCAAAGGGGAAAGTAAATGTATCCTTATTCCTGACCTGTTGTTTGCAATAGGGTATTTGTTCACGATTTAGTAGCTGGAAAATCTTGCCTTTATTTCTGAGGCATTTCTGAATTTTGTTACAACAGCTGGAAATACTGAGCTTTATTTTCCCCCCTCTGGAAGGGTGCCATTTTATGTCCATTTCCATTTCAAAATTCACTAGAAATTACGGCAACCTTCAAAAAGCTCTGGCAAGGAGAAAAGCATTGATGTCACTCCATATATCCTTACTTTTCTTTCAAGCTGCTAAAATCTTTGCAGTGGTAGACACCAGAAATCAGTCCTGAGCACTTGAAAACCCTCACAGCATTGCACAGCTCCTTCCCACCAAACTGCTGCCAAAACAAGACACACACGTGCAATTGCACGACCCAGTGATATTTGAAAAGCCAAGGTCTGAAAAATCTGTTGAATTACTGCCCATTGCTAAAGTTGCAAAATAAGCCACTACTCCTGAAGCAAGTAATAACAGTTACACATGATATTTTCTCTATCTATATTTCAGTTCTCTATTTGCAGGTAAAAATCACCTGTGCCCCTCTTACCCGCTCTCCTCTCCAGCATTCACCCCTTCACATACATGACATTTCCCAGCCTTGGAACCATTCCCAAATCAGCAGAACTCATTCAGCTACCGCATGTTGTGGCACTACCATCTCCTGCCCAAAATAGCTCTTCTCTTCTCAGAGGACCCACTCTATATTGAAAGAAAAACCCCAAATTTCAAGGACTGTAATTTTATTCTTAGTTGACATGTCCTCAGACCACCACACATACTGCCAGTTTCTCCCACTCCCTGATAACATACTCCCATTTATACACCACATCCTAGCTCTGCACGCACAGCAATTCCAACCCCCGCTAGCAATATTTGGCAATAAGATCTCTAATTGCAGATTCCAGTTCAACACGGAAATTGGCAATGAGCCAATCTGTGAGCTCTTCAATAAGCTTTCAGATCTCACTTTACACCAGGCAGGACTTTGTATTTTGTATTCCTTGTGTATACTGAGAGCAGCAATGCAGTTGTAACAGCAAAGGTGGAAAGCAGCACCACCTGAAGGGCAGGAAGGGAGGTCACAGGTCTAATTCTTCTTGCTTCTCCACACCTCCCTAGTCTGAACCTCTCCCGGGAGATAAGCAGCCTACCTTACACAGGAAAAAAAAAAAAAAAAAAAACCCTCAGGAAGTCAGTTCAGATGTCAGGAAAATAATGAAAGGTAGTTACAAAAAAAAGTTGATTCTTGTATCAGATGAGAACAAAGACCAATAACATCAAAAGTAGGTCAAGGACTCAAAAATTAGGAAGCGATAAAATTAAGGATATATGGTCACGTATTACAAAGGCACATGGCACTTTCTGAGCATGCTTGCACTATACTGGAGTTCTTTTTAAAAAAGTGATGCAGGACACTAAGCAAAGGTCTTTCGAGTGCCCCGGTAACTAGCCCCATATCAAGGGAAGCACCTTCTGTGCACGTGAGCCAGACCAAACACACACATAGCAGAATTTATGCTGTGGATGCTCCTCACCTTTGTACCGCTCCCCATCTTGCTCATGTAAACCTTGCCAGAAACCTTCCACAAAATTAGATTTCAGATGGAACCAATTCCCTGATCCAGCTCACTGAGTAACCAATACTAAAGCTTTTATCAACACAAGTTTATTTCAGTAACGGTGAAGGCTTAGAAAGCATCCCTTAAACAGAAACAGCAACAAAAAAAGAAAATCAGCCTTCTGAAAATCTTAACTAATTCCTCAACGTACAGATGACATGCTATTGCTTCCTTCCTCCCCTGCCCTAGGAGAGATTTTTCCTCCTTTAGCAGACAGGGCACTCATGCCAGACTGCCATCCCTGCTGATTATCTGGTAACTAGGGTGGAAACTGAAAAGGGCAATTGATAAAACGAGGGTTACAGAAAGATGGCCCCATCTTGAAAATCCCAGGCTTTACAGAATTGCAGAACAGTTGAGGTTGGAAGGGACCTCTAGAGATCACCTAGTTCAACCCCCCTGCTCCAGCAGGGACACCTAGAGCACGTGGCACAGGGTGGCATCCAGGCCGGTTTGGAAGATCTCCAGAGAAGGAGACTCCACAGTCTCTCTGGGCAGCCTGTTCCAGGGTTCTGTCACCCTCACAGGAAAGAAGTTCTTCCTCACAGGAATTTCCTGTGTTTCAACTTGCACCCACTACCCCTTGGTCGTGTCACTGGCCACCACTGAGATCAGCCCCATCCTCCCTACATTCTCCCCTCAGGTTCTTGAACATGTTGATCTCCTGTTGGTCTTCTCTCCTCCGGGCTAAACAGGCCCAACTCACTTAGCCTTTCCTCATACGATAGATGCTCCAGTCCCTTAACCATCTTTTTGGCTCTACACTGGACCCTCTCTAGAAGCTCCACATCCCTCTTGTCCTGGGGAGCCTGGAACTGCACCCCATACTCCAGGTAAGACCTGGACTATTGTGTGCTGGACTATTTACACGAGAGCTTTCTAGGCAAGAATAGACAAGCCATACTTTGCCCTGTGGTCAGTGACCACACAGCATCACATGCACATGTCAAATCTGGCATACGCCAAGTACCACTACCAATGTGGATGACCACCCCCCCCAAAATTCCAGCTGAAGTCTGTGGGAAGCACACACACTAAGTACACTGCTGTTAGGAAGCCTCCAACTTGGAACTCGAGCAACATATCTCTGTATATAGATATGTTATATATGTAAAACACACACAACAATTATGTCTGTTTCACAACCATGAACAGCTACAACAGGCTCAGCTTTTAGCACACAGCCTCACCCCTGTGGGGAAGGGAACACTGAAAGAATGGCTTGGATATTAGTAGACTTATCTTCTGTACAGACCAACCTTTGAGAGACCAACAAGACCTCTTCTCTGGGCCGCTCTCATCTACTCCCTACACTGTGTTAAAACACCTTTCTGCACCCCGACGTGACCACTTTCTGAGCCCCAAAGCTGAGAAGAAAGAACGCAGAGAGAGAGAGAAAAGCTATTTCTCTCCAGTCTTATTCTCTCAGGTGCACCCATGCAGGGCTTATCAATGTGCTTGCTTGTCTGCTGAAGACAAACCTAGCACGAAGAACTTCCAGACTGTCAAAATACAAGCATCTGAACACGGACTGCTATAAAGGGAAACATCAAGAAACCACCAATATGTGTTAACAAGCATCCTAGTTATTAGCACATACATGCACATATGCAGCTTATCAGAAGTGCCAAGGCTTCTGAGAGGAAAATTAAATACAGATATTGCCAGAAGTCTTAGAACCATATTCCATAGGTGGTTTTGATTCAAGTCAGTGGACACCAAGTTAGTCCTACAGGACAGTATCATTCACTTTTATAATAGCTACTGACCTCATTTCTGTGCCGGAGCTCTGCTGCAGTGGCATGACTAGATGGGGAAAGCAGCACATCACAATTTGTCAGCAGGCAGTGCCTGTCTCTTCTCCATGCAAGCCTTTCATTTATTCTGGTATTTTTAAAAGTCATGCTGTTTCTAAACAGCTGATCCAGATGGTGGATACTCACATCTCAACCTTCCCACACGGTAATGTGGCTCAAGAAAATAAAAACTGTTGCTACCTGCTGCTGCCTTACTTCTTCCTTTAATTTGTTTCCTGCAACACTACGGAATAAACAATATAATTCATTCAACTCTTCAATATCTAACCATAGTTGTGTAACAAATATAGAATAACGTTAACAAAGGAACAACGGAAAAAAGACAACATGATGCAATGAGGATCACGGCAGGAGTACGTGGGTATAAGAAAAGTCTCACCTCTATCATAATCATCTTCCTCTATTGCTTTTTCCTGAAGCCTTTGAAGACGTAAAATCAAGGATTTTATCTATATATAGAGGGGGAAAAAATTAATCATGAAAAAATTCCACTTAAAATCACTACTAACCTCTACACGATAAAAATACAGAGAATTGTTACATTACTAGTTACCTGCTTTTGTAAGTGAAGCCCAGCATAAATTAAACAGACCCACATATTTCAAAATTGCTGAGCTGCAGCTACTTGAGCCAAGCATGGCTTCAGTCCAAATATCTCCAAAGGTTAATAATATTTCTTAAAAGATTTAAATAAGTTGTATGATTGTACAGTATTTTTCAGATTTGTAATTATTCAAGGTAAAGTGTATTACGGGATACTTTCATAACAGGATATTCGCTTTGATCACATTTACCCTATTCTTACATCCTAGTCAATATTCTTTTCTGAGTCCATTTTATCAATTTTGTATATCAGTTTTGCACAGAACAAATCCAGAAATTTGGATACACAAACCACATTTTCTTCAGCAAGTAAAGAAAGAAAGAACACATGAATATTTTGGGACAAGTGTACTTTTCACAGAAAATTGTATTTACATGCAGACAAAGAAGTTTCCTTATATTTTAGGCTCATCTGCAAAACACTAACATCTGCATTTTCACTGCAATATTTGCATTCACCCTGCAAACATTAGGTGGAGAATATACTCAAAACCCCCATAGCACAAAGCAAGTGCTCTTTCATACCTAGAACTCTTTTCAGAATAAAGTCTCATTACAAAAGTTGATGTTTCTCTTTGTTATTTGACAATTCCAAACAAAAGCTCTACAGCTTCGTCTTTTAACCATTTTTCTCAGTTAATAAAAAGTCTTTGAATACCTATTTGGCCTTCCTAATTTTTAGTAAAAGTTATGCAGCCCTCTCCTCATTATCACACCAGCCACAGCTTAGCATACCTAGAATTATAAAACTAAAAAATGTTTTCTTATTATTAAAACTGGTACATGATCTATACCAAGGGCTTGTTATGAGCACTGAGAAAAGCATACCTGGAAAAAGAAAGAGCATATATATGGTCATAGGCCAAAGCCTGGAAGTGCTTGGAAGAGCATTTTTCCAATGAGAGAAAATTTATACTTGAGACATTCTGCTTCTACAAAAGATTCCTCTCCCCTCAAACTCTTCACTTCACAGTTTGATCTCTACTTTTACATTTCTGGATTTCACACTGAAAATTAGGTGAAGTCAGTCAGCAACTTAATGGAAATACTCAGTTATCTTGACTACACAATCAACACACAAATTAGGAAAGACATTTAAACTAATGGTATCTCTATTAAATCTGGTAAATGAAAGCAAGGTAGTCAGAAAAGAACTACAAAAGCCAAATCCAGGAAAGAATCAAAAATGGCTGATTAATAATATGCTGCTATAGGACTCTCCCAACATGATACTACATGTGGGAAAAAAAACCCCATAACATAGTGTATTTTGCACACATGCATAGGACATACTATTTCCCTCCAAGCTTTTTGTTTTGCTTTTGTATTCCATATCCAGAACCACCAATCTTTTGTCTCTGAGGCTGGTGTGGAACGCATAACCTCGTGAAGGGAGGCGCTCTGAATCCTCAAAGTTAATTATTTTCTATATTTTATGCCATACCTCTGATAGAGTTCTGAAGAAGCTTGCCGTGGGAACGGTTCAACGCTTTTTTTTCATATGTCTGATACATTACAACCATCTCTACCTGGAGCAGAGCCCTGCTGCTTTTCCCCACTGTTTCTGCCATCGTGTATTCTCTATGGCAGGTCATTTAAAACAAGCTGGGGCACCACAATGCACCCAGGAGCCCGCAGACACCTGACTGATGCCATTGCTATAACGTGCTTTCCATGTGCAGGCTAGTGAGAGCTCTGGATCTCAGCCACTTCAGAGGGGCATGGCCTCTATCTGTACCATCAGGTCACCACTCTAAGCAAGAAAAAGCATATTTTTACACAACTTTAGTGTTGTCTTCTTTTGTTGACTACAGTTTATTTTGCTCCTTTCTGAAAAGTTTGAGAACTCTCTCATTATCATTGCAATAGGAAGGTGATTCAAGTTAAGCATATGCGACTGGGTAACCAAGGGCAAAGACATGTAAGGGCATAAATCCCCAGTTCTCCATTCAATGAATTCATGAATAAAGAAATTAAAGACAGAAATGTTTCCTTTGTCTGTCCAAAGAGCATACTAAAAAGAGAGAAAACCACTTATGTTTTGTATTATATATTCCCAAATTTGCAGATAATTAAATTCCCCCCAAAAATCACACATTTTGAGCATGTTCTCGTTTCACACGTGGAGTCAAAGAAACTGCCTGATCTCAACGTGCATGAAGTCTGTAGCACTACATGGGAGAACCTAATTGGACTCCCAAATGCAACCTCTATGAAAAAAATAAGCACTAGAAGGGGTTATAAGCCCAGGTCAGGTGATAGGTGACAGGTTTTTCCCACTTTTAGTGTGCTACCTTCAACACACCGTATACTAAAACATTACTGCAAACCTCTGAACACACACAGGCGATTGGTATCCTGACCCCTGCACCAGCTTTGACATTGATACCCACACTATAAACAGGAAGCTTTGGGGGAAACAGAGCAGAGGGGAGAGGGAGAGGAATAAAAAAAAATCCCAAAGTAGTAAGATTACAAACCTTTAATGTCGTGCGATTGGCAAGCAGGCAGTCCAGTAGTACTGGTTCATATTTTTTCATCCAAGTATCCCAGTTATGGTCACTGGCAGTAAAGCTACTTTCATAGCCTGAGGTGACCGAAGAAACAGCAGATGCTGCATCTGAGGAGTCTGTAGAACATGAAAATGTTGCATCTGTATCTGAGAGAGAGACAGTTTCACAATCCTGTAGTTTATCATTCACTGTGGTCTCATTTTCATACTTCAAATCCTCACTGGGCCTTGAGAAGCAACGCAAACTCATTCATTCTTTCATCAATCTGCTCGAGCGTTGCAACGTGAATTTAAAATTTCCCGAGCGGCAGCTCGTGCTATCATTGCTGCCTGTCCGGGTTGCGCAAGACTGACCCCTTTACAGGAAATGGGTACCAATCCAAGAGGACTACAACCGAGGCAGATATGGCAAACAGATGTTACGGAATTCACTCCCTTTGGCCGACTAAAATATCTACATGTTACGGTGGATACCTGCTCAAAGGCTCTCTGGGCGACCCCAGCCACTTCTACAAACGCTAAGTCAGCCTGCAAACACTGGGCTCAGGTAATTGCTGTTTTAGGGAAACCGGACATCATAAAAACAGATAATGCACCGGCGTATAAGAGCAACATCTGTAAAAACTTTTTTCAGCAATGGGGAATAACCCATCAGATGGGTATCCCGTATAATTCGGGTGGTCAGGCCATCATCGAGCGACACCATCGAAATTTAAAACAATTACTGTCTGTTTTGAAAAAAGAGGGGGAGATGGGTCCCTATGAGTTAACAAGTAAAGCATGCTACGTTTTGAATTGGCTCAACCCTAGAAATGATGATAACGTACCCATTTTCACTCATTTTTCAAAAAATTCAGCTGACCTTTCGGGAAAGAAAGTACAGGTGGAAGTCTTTTGTCCACAGAAACAGATCTGGGAAGGTCCAGTTGAGTTAGTTACATGGGGACGAGGATATGCGTGCATACTTGGAAGAGACGGAGCGACCTGGGTACCAGCCAAGTGGGTACGACCGTGGTTGCGAAAGGACAGAAACAATTAATGGACCATGAATTATAGAAATTGTTACACTTATGCGTAACCAGAATGGTTATATTTATGCTTGCAACTATGTTACTTTGTTTTTGTTCGTAATAATTTGATGCATGATATTGCCAATTTTTGTTTTTTGTAAAAAGAGGGGAAATGCTGAGGATTACAGCTATGTTAATTTGTTTTTTGTAAATGTTGCAATGTTTATTGCTAATTTTTCTTTTTTGGAAAAAAGAGGGGGAGATGTTGGGGCCTTAGTAAGAATATATAAGAAAGTGGAGTTTGTGAGGAACCGGATCGACGCCTAGCAACTGAACACCTGGAGGAGAACCAGTCAGCTGGGAGCCTGTAGCCAATGAGGGCTGCTCCTCAGCGCATGCCCACCTGCACCGGTATAAAGCCCTGCTACAGACAACAGCAGGGTGGAGTTGACTTCGCTTCCCATAGAGGTGTTGTTCTCTCCAGCTTGTGGAGAAGGCTTCGGCACTCGCCACAAGTTAAACCACCTTCATATTAAAGTCCTGCTGACTCTGATTTGTGGAGTGAGCCTCAACATTCGAGTGACCCTCGACAGGACTGCAGTTCAGTTTCAGTATTTTGCTACCTATCACCATAAATTAGAATACCCCAACTGTCTCTTCTGTTCTCTCTTATTTGTCAGTGAAAAAAACAACACAGAAATTAGAAATAAAAAGGGTTATGAAGTCCTATCAGCCTGCCTACTATAAAAAGACAGTGAAACGCTCTGCAGGGAGTAATTTAATAGAAAATATAACAAATAGAAGCTGTTCTTGAAGCAAGGGGACTGAACTCGAACAAAATGTTCTTCAGAATGTAATTCTTTTGTTTTATATAAAAGAATAACAGTCAAAGCTTGAGAACAAATCAGCAGAACCCAGGAATAACTCAGTCTTTCTAAAACTGGATACCCCTTGGCAGAGGCTGCAGAGGCCGCTGGCCTTGCCCCTGGAAAGGAAAAGGTCCCCTGGTTTAGTGTGATCAGTTTTGAAACAACCTCACTAAATCTGCACGGGGGGATCTGCCCAGGCATCCCCAGGAGCCAGGGGATAGAGGCGACATCCCCAGCCAGGCCCCCTCTCCGGCAGGGACAGCAGTGCCCTTGGCCATCACCCAGCACAGGCTCTGCAGGGTCCCTGGAGCTCTGGGCGTCCCGTCCAAGGGCATCGTTGGCATTTGATCACACCCCTGTTCTGAAGTTGGGAATCGTTCCTGTTGCTCGTGATCGCATATCCGAAATCTGCTTTTGCAGGGCTCTTCCGCACAGCCCTCCTCTTAGGGCTTCCTGCATCTGATGTCCACCCAAAGAAAACAAACTGAACCGTATTCAGATGGCTTGTTAAAAAAGAAAAGACAGGTCTCACATTTTTATTATAATTCTCCTCACAGTTTTGTTTTAAGCACATCAGGTAAGAGACCAGGCCCTGGCCATTAACCCCAGGACTAGTGAAAATGGAACAGCGAGAGCGCAACTGAAAGGAGCTCAGAAATATCCTGCATTACAGTGTGCAATGCATCACAGTGCTGCGAGAGAGGGGAAGATGAAGAGAGAAACCCCAAACAGAAGAAGGGTCTTTAAATTGTAGTATCACAAAACAATTTATAAAACGTGACATAAGATATGATCCTAGAAGAATCTGCAGAGATATTTATTACCAGATGGGGTGCAAATTGCCTCAAACCCAAACTATTAAAACAACAACAACAACAAAAGGGCTTAACTTATTCTAACAGCTCTTTCACCGTCACAGGCCAAGCTTCGTGAAGACCGGAGCGGAGCAGAGCCGAGGTGCAAGCGGCAGCGCTCAGGGCCAGCCCGCTGCTGTCGCCCCAGCCAGGCACACCAGGCAGGTGAGGCCGCCGGGCAGACACCACCTGCAGACAAAGCACATTTGCTTGCACTGAACACGATGCTCAAGGACAGCAGAACGTTCACTGAAGTTATTTGATACAATCAGTCTTCCTTTTTAGCCACAAAAGTGGTAGCTCTTTGACTAAGTGCTCTAATAGCACCTGTAAGATGCACCTTAAGTACTTCACATCTCTGAAGTCCACCAGGATTTTATAGATCAACATAGAAACTCTGCAGGGACTAGTTCCTTCCTCCCTCAGCTTTAAACACGTAATGCAAAATGTTTGCAAGCTCATTAAGTTTTCCCTGAAAGTGACTGAGAAATTACATATGCAGTTTTAAAAAGAGCTTGGCTCTGAATTTACTTATGTTACACACTGCTGATTTTTGTTAGAATAATAAATTCATCTGCAGAGCATTTGTGGGCAGGTAACTGGGGTGTGTAAGGAGAAGACATTTGGCCATATTCAAAGCCAGCTACCAAAGGATTGCTCCAAGTAATATCTGCAGTGCTGCCTCTATTAAGGAAGCCTTAAAAACATGCATTAAACTATGCATGAAGTTAGCAAGATGATAATATTTTTTATTTACAAAGATGAAGACGCAGAAGTTCAATGTTTCAATAATAAAATTCATCATTCTCAGATCGATCTGATCTGCTGATAACAATTATTGGTCAGTTTCTATGTTATGAAATATGTAAAATGTAACTGCAGGTTTCTAGCTCATTATATTTTGACTCGTTTGCTGAATTTCAAAGATAACACAAAATATTCGAAATAAGATGACACTGATCTGAATACAGACTATTTCAAAACAAACCACTGTGGTCTCTCTATTCAAATACGCTTTCAAAGAAAGTTACCTTTGCATAGATTTTTTTAAACTCCTGAAACATGAAGATCTTGCTCAGCTTTTTCATTTTAATTACTCAATGATAGCTACAATTTATCTACCATTTTATAAAGTGTATTTATAAAAGAAAAGAAAGGGCTGAGTTACATTATGTTTGTCCCCATTTAAGAACAATTTTCTCACCAATGGTTCCTTCCATTTCTAAGGCCACCTGCTGAGTTCGGTTATTCAACTGCTAAATTTCTGAGATGCCATGAACAAAATATTCAGTCATTAAGTGCTTGTTAGCTTTTACTCTTCACTATGGAACACTTAAGAGCTGAGCATTTTAGATGTCAGTCTGGGCTTCCTTAGCCATTGTTTTAACAATTACATCTTTATGGGGGGAAGGGGAAAAAAAAAATCCTAAAGCTAGTTTTGCTTTGTTAACGCTAAACAAAAAGATAGCATCTATTAACAAGTCACCTGGTAAATACAAAAGCACTTTCAACTCCAATAACAAATAGCTATTTAATCCAGGGAGGAATAAGATGTAGTTAAGAAATGCTGTGTTTCTTATGATTGTGTCCTGCACTGCTAATACTTTAAGACACAAACACATCTATGAGCCCATCGCTATTCAGCAGTCCATTGACTACTCATGTGAGCATGTTTTTGTCCAGCAAGTGAGAACGCAAGCCCGTAAAAAACAGGCCAGCACATCACATCCACAGGCCAGCCTTTCACAGAATTGACGGAATGGTCACGGTCGGAAGGAACCTCTGGAAACGACCCAGTCCAGCAGCCCTGCCCAAGCAGGGTCACCTAGAGCGCAATGCCCGGCTTCGAGTGCAGACAGATTCTGCAGGTCTCCAAGGAGGGCGACTGCCCAGCCTCCCTGGGCAACTGTTCAGGTGCTCGCGCCTCTCCTGCACTGGGGTCAGCCCTGCAGCTGCGGCCTCGTCCGGGCTGAGCCAGGGGAATCACCTCCCTGGGCCTGCTGCTCAGCTCCCTGCCTCACAGGGCTCCAAAGTCCTTCTCCACAGAGCTGCTTTCCAGTAGATCTGTCCCTTTTAGCATTATCAATACCAGAATATACTTATTTCCCCACAAATACGCAATTTCAATCTGTTTTAAGGCTCTCCCAGTAATATTCTTCTCACTTGTAATTAAATATTTGAGAATTTGCTATCCACTTTCCAAAAGGCAGAAGGACACAGAGTGGTAAGCGTGCAGAGAAACACTTGGAGTGGAGGACTAACTTCTTTCAGTAGTTTTTAATGTCTGAAGAAGGGTTTTATGTTGTTTTCTTCCCAGGATAAAACCTTTTATTTCCAGTTTCAATGGGAAAGTCTGGAAAGGCAGTCCCTGAAAGTGTTTCATTTAGAGAAAATGTTCTGTGTTTTTCAGGAAAAAAAAATCTCAAATATTATACAAAAATGAGGGGAGGAGGATTTTGCTTGATGCTCTTGAGAAGAACCTGTGAAATTTTGTTATGTAAATGTTATAAATTAATT